CGAAGAGGTGCAATTGAGTGGCCCCCTCGGTCACCCGACTTAAATCCTTTAGATTTCTTTCTCTGGGGGCACATTAAAAGCAAAGTTTACAGCACTCCACCTGATACCTTGGAAGATCTGCGAGGACGAATCATTAATGTATGTCGCGAAGTAACACCGCAAGTGCTCCAGAATGTTCGACAACGGTTTGAAGACAACCTGTATCATTGTATGCAAGTTGGCGGACAACATTTTCAGCATTTACTTGACTAATACCGTAAGTTTTGAAGTAAAATTAAATCGATTTTCGCATTTCTCGTCAAAAATATTGTTCGTATTTTCAAAGCTGCATATTTTCTAAAATAATGGATTGATTTTCAAAAAGTAAGAATCGATGTATAGAGAATTAAAAGCCCTTTCTAATGACCCCCCACTTGACCCCCATTCCCATTTAAAAAAATTTATAGCAAATAAAACAAATATCGTTCAGACCTGCGAACAAGAACGAAAATTTCAAACACTTACCTCTTTCCCACTAGGCGCATAAACGGCGACGGTGCCGTGGTATATGAAAAACATGCTGGTACCGATGGTCCCCGCGCTGATGATGACGTCCCCAGGCAAGTAAATTTCGGACTTGAGCTGGGCGACGACCTTCATCAGGATATTTTCGGGGAGGTGCCTGAAGAAATCCACTCTCTCTATGTGGTTTCTCGTGACGTGCATCAGTATCTCCTGAAAAATAAAGTACACGTGTAAAAGGCGTACGGCAGTGTTGGAAAACCTCCGCACCTGTTTCAGCAGGGGCGAGACCATGTTGTTAATGTCGGACTCCTTGAAGAAGTGCTTGTGGAATTTGAACTGGAAGTAGGAAAATATTCTTTCTCTTAGACTGAGCGGTAGCTCCTTGTATTTCATGTATTCTTTGAACTGTTTGTGTAAGGAGTGGTGTTTGTTCTCGGCACTCGCGTATTTCGTCCAGACTTGTAGTATTTGAGCTAAAAAAAAACATGCCGGTACAGTCGTTTGTTGTTTAAAGCGTCCGGAAAACTACGAGAAAAAAATTTAAGGGGGTTATTCAACTCACAAAAATAATGGTACAAGTTCATATGAAACTTTTTCAAACACTCAATATGAAAGAAATTTTTTAAATTCATACACAGTACACACATGGAAAAATCCAAGGAACAAAAAATTTTCGTTAAATTTTCATTGATTTTCAAAAGGGAGATGCACAACTTATCCAAAAAAATTTGGGAATAGATGCGGCAAGAGAAATGGAGTCAATATTGTAAAAAAAAAATTTGTAAAATCCTTAAAGTTTCTGAGAAAAAAATTATTGAAGTTATAGCGCATTAAACCACTACATAGCTGGACAACTGTAGTCTCTAGTATCATTCGCCACGTGGCCTCATCGACTCCGAATACTGAATTCGGATTTTACAGTCGTCGTTGCGATATTTACCTGTTATCTGTGGTTTTTATAATACGTTTTTAGTAGTTGGTGTCAAAAATAGGTAGTTAGTGTCAAAAATGGTTTGCGTGTACTCGGAGTTGATGCATATCGTTTTAATTTATGGTGAAGCGTTTGTGTTATGGTGAAACAAGACATCATTTGTGTTAGTTCGTAGAAAGTGAGTAAGACGGACCCAAATGTGTTTACACGTGAGTGGATAAAATTTTGAACAATTGCTGTTGCAGCAATTGTTCAAAATTTTATCCACTCACGTGTAAACACATTTGGGTCCGTCTTACTCACTTTCTACGAACTAACACAAATGATGTCTTGATATAAAATAGGT